TTTTGACATTCTCACGTGTTATTATTGTTGACTTTGGCAAGGATGATGAATGGAAATATACCAAAGATATTGATCTATAAAACGTCATTTAGATTAAATAATGCATTTTGTATGTAGCATTTATCAATGCTCACAAGTGCATTGATAATGTTCGCGTTTTTGTAAACAAAACCTTGAAAACATTTTTATCTTTAATATCATAAATAGCACAACACAAGAGTGGGACAGCCATGCTTCAGCACGAATGGGTCGGCTCGACCGGAGTGATACCATGGCCTTACAGAATACCGGCGTGAAACAACCAAAGCGTTGTATTTCGCCGTGTGAGTGAGGTTACCGGAGGCCGAATCCCTCCCCTCCCCCCCTATCTTCTTAATCCTTAAATATCTGATACCCTTATTCCTTAAAGGCCGGCAACGCACTCGTTACTCCTTTGGTGTTGCAGGTGTCCATGGGCGGCGCTGATTGCTTACAGGTTATCAGGTAATCCGTCTACTCGATTGCCGACTTATACCATAAAAAATTTATAGAGCTTCTGCCTATGTACTAATGAAAATATGAAATTAAAAATAGAATGCAAAAATTAAAAAAGTTTTGACACCGATTCTAAATTTGTTGATTGGTTAGGATTTATATGTTTTACATATAGGAGTACCCTAATCTCAAATTTTATCCATCCCTTAACGCCAGTATGGCACTTTTAATTTTAATGTTACTAATAGTACCAACTTGTTTTTTAAAAAAAAACTTTGACCCATAATTTTTTTCTGGCATATGCCACTTCTTTCAAATCATGTTGTATATCTACGAACTGTTTAGTTTAATACATACTTACGAACATATAAATCCTAACAACCGCTAACACTATCAAATTGGTGAGGCAAACTCTCGAAATCTCGCCTTCAATCGAGGCTCTTAATATTAATCTGAACCCTTGATACAATCATAGAACAAGCCAATACTATCTGTATGCGTCATACGAACACATGTTTAGGTCGATGTCAGATTCCTAACTAGAAATGGCACAACGATAACACTATCTCCTCCGTTTCTAACTCATGACTAAACAGTTCGGCCTCAAAATCCAATTAAAATAATTGCTGAATTAAACATTTCATGTCTATTAACACGTTAGCCACCACGTAGGTTACCGACGACCTACGATATGGGAGAATTTGTCTTCAATTGTTTTCTGTCGGCAGTCAAAGGCTTAATTAATCAAACTCCAAGCGAACGCCGGCGTTCGCGTACCTGTTGTTATTCTACTTAGTCTCGAATAGCCTCGAATAAAGGTTAATGGACCTAAACACAAAAAAAATGCGTCTGACGAGTATTCTTTTTACGGTACAGAGACCAAATGAACAGACAGACGGGAAACTTGATGGCAAGCGATTAGCACCACTCTTGGACACCTATAAAATTCTAAGGTAATACTGAAAAGAATAATATTTATACTTTATTTCGATATTTAATTTCTCTACTATGCATATAACGAAGAAGAAAAATCATTTATTTGAGACTCGCACAGAAAATAAGGATGTCAAGTCAAGGACGTCAAAAAGGATGTAATTACACATATAAATCTTACCCTTCATTTACTCTATTTGTTTAATGTTTAATTTTTTTTGTTTAATGTGGTATGTCGGCAAACGAGCAGATGGATCAACGCAACGGAGGAGTTACGAGTGCGCTGCCGACCTTTTAGGGATAAGGGATTTGGAGATTTAGGGATTGGGGAAGGGTCCGGGAAGGGGAAGGATTGGGCCTCCGGTAACCTCACTCACACGGCGAAACACAACGCTGTGGTTGTTTCACGCCGGTTTTCTGTGTTTTAAAATACAAGTGTAGTGTAGAGTCTGATATTCTCTCCAGCTTCACCCAAAACGACTAAAGAAATTGGATGACTAAGGTCTAATATATCAATTGTTAGATAAAAGTTACTTGGGGAATAATTATGATGCTGTCTCGTCAGAATGTTTGTATAAGACAGTGACAGCAACAATTTTATTCATCAAGTAACTTTTATTTAACCACTAGCTTTCGCCCGCGGCTCCGCCCGCGTGGACTAATATTTTTCGTATCCCACGGGAACTGCATATTTTTCCGGGATAAAAAGCCTATATGTTATTCCAGACTATTATCTACCCCTGTGCCAAATTTCAACCAAATCCATTCAGTAGTTTTTACGTGAAATAGTAACAAACATCCTTACATCCATACTTACAAACTTTCGCCTTTATAATATTAGTAGGATTGAAATTGAAAATAAGCCCTAAAACTAATAAACATTTTAGGACAACCAATCAACAGACGAGACAGTTCCGAAGGCACTTACAAGCAGAATAAATTCAATGTAGTTCTAATTTTGTTTCAATCTCGCTATTTGGAACTGATGTGGCATGAATGTTAGTTGGTCTCGCGTCCTCTTATTTTCTAATTACTATTAAAAGGACCAGAAACTTCCAGGAATGTCATACGACCTAAATAACTGATTGATTCGACGAATAAATTAGCTTCCCGTGGTAATTGAATTGGCTATTTTCTTCGACTTGTATTCACATTTATTGAGAACGAGATTAACAATACGTGTACTACATTAGATCATAGTACCGTTAAATTAGATGCTTGGTAGATTATAGGGTCGTCTGACAGATAATATTGTCAAATCTATCTTCTTTAATATGCTATTTATCGCTTTTTTTTTAAATTAATATTTTCTTGACGAAAATAAACACAGATAACTAATATTAGCCTAGAATATTAGTTATCTGTGTTTATTTTCGTCAAGAAAATATTAATTAAAAAAAACTTTCAATTGTTTAGTTACCTATGTTTATATGATACAGCCTGATCTTTTTTCTGTAAGCCATGTTAATTTTCGTCAGAAATTATTATTGTAAAAGAAATACTAAATATTTTTTTAATTATTATTGTTTGGTAACCCATGTTTATGTGATACAGATTGTTTTTTTTTTATATCTGTAAGCTGTATTTATTTTCGTCAAGAAAAGATTCTAATAATCAAAAATGTGAATGTTATTTCAATTGTTTAGTTAGGTACCTATATTTATAGATACAGATTGGTATTTTTTACAATACCGCCGCCGTATCTTGGCGAGTCTGAAGTTAGCCGATTAGCTGCGCAGTACTCAGTTTTGTTCCTTAAAGATCCATTGCGCAGACAAACGGCTAACTTCAGACTCGCCAAGATACGGCGGCCTTACTGTACTCGCTGATGATAATGAAACTCAAGAAAATCAGAGCACAGAACGCGGTAGTAAAAAATCCCCTTCTGATTTCATTCGTCATTGCAAAGTTATTAAACACTATTATCTCTTTTACCGTTCCATATATCTTCTATTGTCTAGATCTCTTTCATATTCCGTATTTTTGTCGAGGTCTTATTTAGACAACCCTAGGACAGAACACGTGTATTCCTAACCAGATTAACGCACCTTTCTAGAAAGTTCGAACATAACCGTCTCTCACCCAGTTCAGAATAAACCCATTGAACATATTTTAGTTAGGTACAACTAGCCCACAAATATACTAATAAATCAAAACTAAAATTGTTCCCAATCATAACGCATCAATAAGGGCCGTTATCGGCAGACAATCTAAATGAGACTTTATTGCAGTAACCTACAGTTAGTATTGCATTATAATTGATTTGCATTGGTCACCATGATATATAGGGTGATTAATATTGATAGGAATTATGATTGAAGATGCTGTGTGGTGGTGTTTAAGTGATTTTATATGGAGACGCAGTTCAAAGAACCTTGTGTTGGAATTATCTGATAAAGTGACTTCGGAAGTTTTTCTTTTGGTGGTTGAGTAAATCGATTCGATTCGATTATTTTTTGGTTGACTTAAAAAAAGTGGGTAACCATGGGATTTCTTGCGTTCGTTCTTCTCTTTTGGAAAGCAAATAAGTTAATAGCTTCACTAGAGCCGCGGTACACTATTATGATGCGCTTGCACTCGAAACCCGGCTTCGACGGACTTGACAGGCCTCATTTATGGTCTTTTTTGTAAGGAGAAAATCATCAAATACGAGTAACTGACTTCTCCTGCACAGAGTGAGGGAGTGTCAGACTCTTACTGACTAAAACCACTGTCCTTCTTCTGCTCTAGGCCAAGGCCGCGGTGCCTTTTTGCGCTTACCCTGCAACCCTGGCTGAGATGGCCCTATAAGCCGAAAGTGGAAAATATTTCTGATTAACATTAAAACTTCGTCGTTGACAATCTTAATCACAGTCACACAATCATAATTATCTGCCAATTTGAAGTTATTGTTTTCTTTGTATATGCCTATTTAATTGAAGAAAAATTTACAAGGGCAAATCAATCTTAGCAACTTAAAAATCATATCTCAGCTAAGTACCTACTGCCTAAATATTTGTAACCATAGCCGACCTAATTACAACGTCCTGTTTATAAGTATTAATTCGAAACAAAATACTCTATATTAACTCTCACCACTTAATATCGACTTTAACTTTAAAACCTTAAGGCACATTTTCTAATGGGTACTAATATACTTTAAACTATGTAGCCCAATATGGACTGTAAGCTAAAAGTTTTAAGGTCTATTTTTGTTTGTGGGATATATTGTGGTCAGGTTCTTAAAATTAGGAGGTGTCACTTGCAAGAACTGCAATAAATCATTGTTGTCATCGACAACGGCATGTAGACTAAACAATACGTTTTGTTAAAGACACAGCCACACTTTCGATGGCAGAGCGTAACAACGCAATTAAGTAAACGGATTTACTTACTGCAGTACTTAAACATATGTATTTTTTTTTTATGGTATAAGTCGGCAAACGAGCAGACGGATTACCTGATGGTAAGCAATCGGCGCCGCCCATGGACACCCGCAACTCCAAAGGAGTTACGAGTGCGCTGCCGGCCTTTTGGGGATGGGGGTTGCGGATATAAGGATTGGGAAGGGATAGGAGAAGGGGAGTGATTGGGCCTCCGATAACCTCACTCACACGGCGAAACACAACGCTGTGAGTTGTTTCACGCCGGTATTCAGTGAGGCCGTGGTATCACTCCGGTCGAGCCGACCCATTCGTGCCGAAGCTTGGCTCTCCCACACTTAATGTATGTAATAATTGTTCTATCTCAAAATGGATTAAGAGTTCTCTTCTTTTAACCAACCTTTTTACTTATATTTGACACTTCAACTTATGTCAAATGATCCCACATTAGACATAAATCGATTTTGCACAAATGGGTCGGCTCGAGCGTAGTGATACCACGACCTCGCAGAAAATCGTCCAGAGCCCAGTCTCAGAGTCGCAGAGGCCCAGTCCCTCCCCTTCCCAAATCCATCCCTAGTCCCTAAATCTCCATATCCCGTATCCCCAAATGGTCTTCGTTACTTCGTTGTTGCGAGTATCCATTGGCGGCGCTGGTTGCTTACCATAACTCATTCATGAGGAGCCTGCGCGACGAGGCAATGTGGCTAAGGACATCGTCGAATAAGAGTCCCGTTGTGACTTGAAACTTGTTGAGGTTTTCTCAGTTAATTCACGTGAGTGGTTTGTTATTTTCATTTAGTTTGCTCTCGTAATAGCTACTATTCCAGAATAATATAATATCTATTTCTTAAATTATTGTAAAGCCTAGGAAAACAGTGTCAGTTTTTAACAAGATACATATTTAAAAAGAAACCTAAACTAAGTACAAATGTAAGTCATCGATCGACATGAAAGATCAGCAGTAACCACGGACCGTGGTTGTGGCTCCAGCATTAGATACTTCAGATGCTTCAAAAGAACAAAATATTTATACGTCACATTCGACACGCACGTTTTCTCACATTGCAACACTGTAAGACGCTTTCAAAAAGACAATGTTTTAAACTATAAGTACAGTCCTTATTTTATTAACGAACTTTTTAAACATTTAATGAGCAATAAGAATTAATGATTTGTTCAAAAATTTGAATTTGGAGAACTTAAAGATAATCAAATTACTCTCAAAACTATTCACACATAGGTACCTAAATAAAGGTTACAATATTATCGAAAACAATATATTATTTGTTCTATGCAACCTACATACAAAAGCCTTGGCAGAAAAAAAACATTATGTCCGTAGATTATTTACATTTCATTATGTCGACTAGACACGATTATGTTTTTGGACACATTTTACATGGACGAGTAGGTAGGTACGTTGCCGACCTTTTCTTGGTTTTAGAGATTCAGGGATTGGAGAGGGACTGGGGGAGGAGAAGGATGGGCCTCTGGTAACCTCACTCTCACGGCGAAACATAACACTGTGGTTGTTTCACGCCTGTTTTCTGTGAGGCCGTGGTATCACTCCTCTCGAACCGACTCATTTCGTGCCGAAGCATGGCTCTTCTATACTCGATGGTGTGTGCGTGTGTGTATACATAATTGTTTATGTCTTAGATAACAGACAATATAACGGCCGATAAGGCGGGAAGCGCTAATTGCTGCAATCGACCTTGGCATTCCTTCATCATGAACTAGTTACAACCAATTTGTGTACTTAAATCTGTTTCCATAGCAATGCAGTAAGAGTCATTTAAAAATTTCAGATTAATTGTTTGTTGGTTAGATGCTATTGTATTCTAATAGATGACAATTTATTTATTTACGTATATTTTAGACATGACCTGGTTTACTTTTCTGACAGTAAAATAAATCTTGGAAAGTTACGAATCCTTATATGCAAGAAGTAAACTTACCTACTACATTGTAAATCAAGTGCATTTTATTTAAGCAAAATAAGCCTTCATAATTAATTATCTGTCAACACTCAATATGGCCGACACCATTTTTTTGGCGCCAAGATTATCACGCATCTGTTAACCCGTTAATCCGCGATGGCGCCTGATCATTTAAGTCCGGTTTTTTGACGTTAAATATAGCGAAAAAACGTTTTGGGGTTAAGTAAAAGTGAACTCGATCGTAAAGCAGCCGCGGAGAATTGAAATAAAGAATATAATTCGCCATCTTGATATGATCTGTCAAATCTGCAACTTTATGGTTGTGAGTATTTTTTTTTCATATTAAACCAAATCTGCACTGAACTGAGTACCTGGTTTGTAAATATTTCTTTTTTGAGCAATTTAATTTTAATATAAATATTTTGTAGCCGGGTTTTTATAATATAATGTAACGGTTGCAATTAAATACCGATTCTTTTTTTTATAATGAACAAACTGTCACGATGTTTGTGAATTGTAAAAAACAAGATTCATCGGTGATATCATTCTAATACCATTTATATTTATTACTTACCTAAACAAAAAGTTCTAATTTAAGAGAATTACTCATACAATGTCGTCTACCTTTATGAATTAATCATTATTAAAAAGATTCAGACGCAGTCACTCTGGCTGTACGTATTCGAAATTCGCTCATTTTACGCCAACATGTTTTGCGTGAATGACATTTAAAGGTTTTGTTTTATGTGTGTATATAACAAGCTTTATTTTACTTAATAGTAAGCAATCGGCGCCGCCCATGTGTATCCGCAACACCAGAGGAGTTACGATAGCGTTGCCGATCCTTTGGGGATTGAGCTTTTTCGGATTTAGTGCAGGAGCGTTATTTTTCGCCGTGTGAGTGAGGCCCAATCTTTCCCCTTACCCGATTCCTCCCCAAACCCATAATGTCCGAATCCCTAATCACCTAAAAGGTCGCCAACGCACTAGTTACTCCGCCTTTGTTGGGAATGTCCATGGGCGGCGCTGATTGCTTACCATCAGATAATCCGTCAGCTGGTTTACCATCCTATCACATAAGAAAAAAACATTCCGATTCGCATTACAGATTAAATTATTAAGTCTTCAAGCTACAACCAGTAGGTTCTTTATAATTGAATACCTACTTCATGCATTATTTCTCCTCAATGATTTTGAAGGACTAACGCATTAGTACTCAGTACTTGAAGTGGCACTTACAAAGCTTAGCTTCTTAATATATGCTCTGACACCTGACGCTGATTTACACTGCTCTTCAATAATCCTATTGAACATATAACCAGTTTTGAATTACCGTGTTTGAATAAAGAAAATATACATATAACTGTGTTTTATAGAAACTTGAAGTTCCCTACTGTTACACTCCCAACTGTTGTAAATAGGTTAGGTATGTAAATTAAATGCTTCTCTGATTCTCCTTCGAGATATCTAATTACGAAGATTTGTTTTTATTGAACTCCAAAGCAATGAAATATTGAATGCATGTTTTATTTTGCGATTTGCCCAAAAACGTAACTAGCGCCACTTAAGCGGTACTAAATACGCCGAAATTATCTGAAAACTCGATATTTTTTTTTTGTGATTTGATTATTGTAGGTACGTGTATGTCGTGTGATTTCTACCACGGTAATTTCTTGAGTTAGTATGCAAAATAAAAATAAAACAAAACCACCAGTTAATAACTTTACTTCTAAGTACTCGTATGTAGGTAAAACCTTATTTTCCCTATTATAATGAAATAAGTCAATATTCTGAGAATAACCGTGAATAGTTCAGAACTGTGAACTCACGCGCTAAGAATGCAAATTCCATCTACTTATGAACTGGTATTTTAAATGCGAAAGTCAAGTGAGGATATACTAACTTTTAAATTTTCACGACCTGTGCAACCGGGTCGAAACGTCAAGCCTACTAAGGTATTCAAATAATAATTTTCCGCGTTAATACCCGCGTAAATAAATATATGTAGTCAGGATATAGTCATATTATGTACATACCTATATGTACATACATAAAAGTTTGTTACTACTTCACGCAAAAACTACTTGACGTATTTTTTATGTATTAATTAGAGACTTTTATACTGCATAACGTATATAAGGTCCGTTGTACCCTAACACCAGTCACATTCAAACGAGATCAGAGACGGATTTAAGTAGAATTGTAGGTGCAACTTGACACTTCCACCTAGCAAAACAACCGTCTCTATTACTTATTACGTCAAGTTCGTCCTGCTATCTCCTTCTGGGCCTGCCTCGGTAATATTTTGGTAAGGAAAAAATATGCAAATTAATGAATCTATTTACAATATTTGCATATATAGGTAGGTATGTACAGTTGACATTGGTTCATTGATGACGCATGGAGATATAGGAACCTCTAAAATATTACGATGCATATTGCTATAAAGTCACCTGATAGGAATTCGATTACTAATATTAACGTAAACGTAATTCGGAATTCTTATTGCGATTGTTGATAAAAAATCAACGTTTTACAACTCATTTTTGGAAAAATTTTGCATATTTATTTGGTATTAACAAGTCTTATATTATCCCAAGTCATAATTATTATTTGTATACATATCTGAATAAAATATATCTGTGAACTGTTTTCATTTAGAATTAGGTAGGTACTAACGCATATATCGTAGCATTACTCATACAAAAAGAACATTTATATTATTAGGTAGGTAATAGAAAAGTAAATAAATAAAATGACGTTGTAATAGGTACCAAAAATCATTGTATTCAAAAAATGACATCAGCGCGGCCATGACAGATAAAAACTTGAAACTAAAATAAATAATAAAACTGAACGTAAACGATTTCAAATTTAACTCGGAATTCTAGAACCGTGAAATTGTAATAAAAATATTGTTTTTGTTTCAAAAAAAAAAAACGCGGTCTTTATTATTGTTGGGAAGTAAAGGACAAAAAGTATCTATTATTTTATTGTAGTTTATGGTATGGTATGTCTAATAGATTAATCTGTACCATAAAAAACGTTTGATATTTTATTGTTTGAATTTTAATTTTTCCTGCGTGGTGTCACGCACGTGTTGTCGGCTTAGTAATCAAAGTACTTACACGATTCTCCAGACATGTTGGAGAACCCAATTTATTCTACAGATATGGTGTAGGTAGGTAGTTACTGTGACCAATAAAATGATTCCTTTTAAAACTCTGCCAGGAACATAAAATTACAATTGGGAATATCCATTTCAGGAGATTATTGGGTGCTTGACGACTGTTTTCAGTTTTAATACTAACGACATTTTTTACTACTAAATCGTAAAATGGCCTGGGTCGGGCGAGATTGAGTGACAG